AGGATCGCCTGGAACTCCTTCCTAGAAGCCTCAAGAAGGGCACTCTCAAACTTGGTCATGGCCTGCCACCTATTAAAATCATAGCAGCCTAGTAAGGCCTGATGGTTGGCAACCTGCAACTGTAGACTGGAGGATGAATAAACTTTACGCCCAAACAAGTCTAGTCTCCTTGAGTCTTTATTCTTAGGCATAGCCCCTAGTTGACCCTGTCTCTCCTTGTGGTTGACTGTCTGTACCACTAGGGAATTGGGAGCAGAGTGGGTATAAAGGTACTCATGGCCCTTGGATGGCACAAAGTACTTGTGCTCCCCCGTCTTGGAGATCAGAGGCAAGGAGGAGGGGATTTGCCAGAGGTCAATTGTAATTTTAGCGACCACCTCATGTAGGGGCAAAGCTACTCTGGCCGGGGCCACAGGGCAGAGAACATTAAAGAGGGAGTCTGCGGGTTCCTCTAACTCCTCCGCCTGGAGGCCGAGGTTGGCGGCAACCCTCTTTAACAGCTCCTGATGCACCTTAGCATCATCCTAGGGCACCAGTGGAGGGGGCCCCAATGTGGCCTTGTCTGGAAACGAGGAGGAGGAAGCCAGTACCAAGGGGTCCTCCGCAACCATAGGTGGTCTGGTGGCTTGCTCGCCCACCCACTTCATCCTGTGCCTGCAGGGTGCCTGCAGCCGAGGCCTCTTGGGCTGGTGGGGGCGAGACAGGGCAGTAGCTGATCTCTCCGAAGCTCCGGATACTGAGCAGGCGGCCTGAGAGGGCTGAGAGAACCCACATGGTTTCCATGGGTACCACTTTGCCTACCACGGAGTCTGAGGCCACGGGCCCGCCAACGTAGTCTGCGCCATAGGTGCCGGAGGCTGTCCCGCCGCTAGGGAACCTTGCTCTGAACCTGAGCCCGAGCAGTCACTCCTGTGACCAAGAAGGGGCTGATTGGTGGCTCTGTGCCGATCGGTACCGGTCACCCCTCCCGGAATTGGATCTGGCTGACCTCAACCAGCATCTGGCTCAGGGCCTTGGCAACCAGTGGCACTCGGCGGATCCGCAACGGCACTGGGTCAGCAATCTACACCTCACACTTAACATGTGGTACCAGGCTGTGGAGCGGGACTGGGAACCAGAGTGGACTTGACATTGTGAAGATGCAGCTGCAGGTGATGATGCTGCCCTGGGGGATCGGCGACGGTGCGGGGAACAGTACCGTCGGCCCGGGGAACGGTACTGTCGGTCCCTCAACCTGTCCCTGGAGCAGTACCAGTGCCACAGAGATTCCAGGCACAGACTCCAAAACTCCTGCCGGGGGGTGCGTGCCTCCAGAGGTCTGTGCCTGGTTACCAGCGAGCTGCACCTTGAGCCTCTCTGCCATTGTCTGTGGTCCGGAGACCAGATGAGGCTGCGAAGCTTCTGCCTGTCATGGTCAGAAGTGTGTTGGCTGCGAGAGGGCGACCGTTGGTGGGACGTTCTCCCTGACGGGGAGCGCTGCCGGAAAGTGGAGACTGTGGTGATCCCAATGCGGGTTTACCCCGAGACCGGGACCCTGCAGGGGGCGGAATGGGCGGCACTGAGAGGGACATAATGTCTTGTGCGGCTTGCAGTGCCTCCAGTGTGGACAGCACCCGGAGCTGAGGAGGACCTCCGCCACTATCCGGGGTAGCCAGCAGGGAGTGGGCTAGACTACACTGCTCAACCTGAGCTGAGGCCCCAGATCCCGAAGGGGGGTGAAGAGGCGCCCGAGACAGGGCCTTGGTCCACCCCAGACTTGTCCTTTCCCTTGCGGGAAGCTGGAGACCTTCCTCGTCGCGTCTTCCTGGGCTCCTTGGCTGGAGCCACGGAAGGAGACCAGTGCCGGCTCGTAGATGGTACTGGCGGGGTGCTGCACATTGAGATCACGGTGCTCAGCACCGAATCAGAGCGCTGCTCCAGCATCGGGATAAGGGCAGATGCCATCAGGCGCGCCTTCAAACGAATGCCACGCTCCTTCTTCATCCTGGGCTTGAAGGACTTGCAGATTTTGCACTTATCACCAACGTGACCTTTGCCCAAGCACCGTAAACAACTATTATGTGGATTGCTAATAGGCACGGGACTTTTACAGCGATCACAGGGTTTAAAGCCTGGGGATCAGGGCATGCCCCGTCCCGAGGCAAAGTCCCTTTAGTCTCTAACTTAACAAATAGGTTGAACTAAACTAGAGGGAAACGATATACAATACTATTTGCAAGAGGCAAATGAGTTTGAAAGAACGAGAAGCAACAGCTCTAGCACCAGTTCCATGCACCATAAATACATTTATGTATTTTTATAAGTGCCAAAAAATTATTGTTTAAACAAAATCAAGAACACAATTGTTATTGTTACTACTATTTCCACCAAGGCATCTATAAGAATGACTTTGGCATTACAGAACATAATTATTCTATATTCAGAACTTATATGCCCCACCTCTCCCCATATCACAGTGGTATTTGATACAACACCCCTGGAAGGTAAGGAACTACTATTGTCCCCATTTTACAGGTGAAGAACTGAGGCACAGAGCAATTAACTGCCTTGGCTCAAGATCACAAGGGAAGTCTGTGGCAGAACAGTAAACAATACTTGGGTCTCCCAAGTCCCAGGCTGGTGCCCTAACCATTACACCATCCTTCCTCTCAATATACATAGCTTTGGGTTTTGCTTGGATTCTTCAGCAGAGCTTTCCTATCATTCTGTTAAGAGGGCAATCTTCTTTTTGTAATGCTTTCGATGCTCAGTTATTTGCAGTTTGCTCTTAGAAGCTTGAAAACAATCTCTCTACCCCTGCTTGACAAGCATGAATTCCTTTTCCCCATCCCAGAGTGTCTAAAGGAACTGAAGTAAACTGCAGCCTTTTGGTTTGTGCTACCAACACTGGATTCATTTGGTTTGGGAAGGAACCTCTAGTTGGCTATTGTATACTACCTCTAGCCTCCTGACTAATTATTCCTCCTGATAGTGGGTGTCAGGCCTAGCCTGGAATATCTTCAACAACAGCGGCTGTATAAACATGCTTGCTAGGTCATTGCATTGCTCTGCAAAGCCAACCTTCTTCAAAGGCACTTTTTGCTTAGTATTTCTGTTGCCATTCTTCTATACTCTTCAGTTTGATCTCTCTTATACAGCACAGCAATGCACACAATGCATCACGTGGCTTTGCCCATGCTGTATACAGAAAGAATTACATCCCAGTTGTTATATGCAATACCCTATAAATTATGTGTCTCTTTTCGCTGCAGCATCACAGCACATGCTCAAATTGTCATTGCCTTAAATCTTCCGTTGTGTTGTATTCTGACCAGGATTCTTCCATTTTATATTTATGTCTGATTCTGTCTCCTACACTGAACCTCTATTGATTTCCCCTCTCCCCTCATTTATCTAACTCCCTTAGATTAATAACACCAATAAAGGTAAGAGAAATCCCTCGTTTGCATCACCTGTAAGTTCAGTAAGCAGTCTCTCTGCATCTTCCTCCAGGTCATATGAAGGTATTGCATTATAACTGACTCCAAAACTCTTTTTGAGCCTACCCACTACCCCCCTTCCCATAATTACTCTGAGCCTCCAACAATGTTTTTATCTGAGATGCAGTCTGGTCTAATAATCAGAAGAGGATTGGAAGAGTCAGAAGTTGTGGATTCCATTACTACTTATTGTTCTTATGCTCCATCAGACATTGCCTTCAAATTTTGTGAGCACAGTTTTGATCACAACAGCCAGGCAAATGATGTCAGTTGCACTACCCATTAATTGCTGGCATAAAATCAGAGGCCAGGTTTAAGCTTCTTATTTTTCCCCTCCATCTCTGTGATATATTGTTGGTGTAATACTTAACATGTTTGTAAGGTTAACAGTGATTGTAGAACCTCTCTATCTTAGAGATCCTTCTATAAAAAGGTGCTATGGAAGTGGGAGGTATAAAGGCATTAAAATAAACACATAGTAGGGGAGGATAAATTGAGAGTGGATACAGGAGAATCACTGTAAGAGAATGCCAAGAGTTTACGGAGGTGAACAGTCACATTTCAAAAGCTCTCTCAGGACAAAACAATGACAATACTCGGTTCAAATCAGAGTTCAGTATACATTTGGGCTGTGTGTATGTATATAAGCCCTCATTCTTGGCTTCTCAACCTCTGGTTCAGTAATGATATCACCAAATGTGTAACCAGTAATGGGGGAAACCGATCACAAGATGTGGCTGAAAATGCATTCCGTTGATCAGTAATGGAAGTGGAAAGCTTGCTTAGACTCTGAATATGTCAAAGTAAAATTCACGCACTTCAGACTCCAGCATTTACCCAGTACTAAATTAATTTTATTAGTAATGCTATGAGACAATTAGGGTTCTGTTTCAAGAGATAATACCTCATTTCCCTTTTTAACTGTGGACAGAATCAGAGTAAGTGCAAAATAGTCAGTTAATGAGCAATCCCTCTCAAGGATCGTGTTCTCTCTTAATACTATGTACCCTACTCACAATTAGGGAGATTTAAAAGAAGGAACATTGAGCAGGTGGTTTCATATTTTAAAAACCCATTGAGAACACTTTTAGACACCCAAAGCAAGTATATTAAAGAACTGCAGAGCAAACCTTGAGTTGAAGTCCTTTCAGTCTTAAGCATTTGAAATAAATTTTAGCATTAGGAAGAGCGCCTTGTAACTGTCACGGAGTCACCGGCCGATGCTCTGGAACTGCTCTCTAAGAGCCAGTCAGGACTCTGGCGAAGCATGCCACTGTTGCCAGGGCAAGAAGTCTACGTGCCTTCAGCCTTCCTGTGTCTGAAATTCAGAGCATTCAGCATCCCCATTCACCGTGTGCTCCCTGCAGCGAGTCCGCCTGAGCGGGGTTCCTGGGGAAACCAAAGGGCCCTGCGCCCCAACTCTGCAGTCAGACATGACTCTCAGCCAGCATTGTAAAACGGAAGGTTTATTAGTTGACAGGTACACAGTATAGAACAGAACTTGTTAGCACTGAAATCAGTGAGTTTTAGCCAAGTCCATCTTGGGGGATCCCTGGGCCAGATGGCCTGGACTCCCCCTCTTCCAGTTCCCCACAGCAGACTGCCATGGACCCTGCTGCCTGGCCTCCGACATGCCCGTTGCTCCTCCTCCGCTCTTTGTCCTGCTTCCTGGGCAAAATGTCACCTGGTTGCATCCCTTTCCTGGTTCTCAGGTTATGAAAGGCATCGACCATCACCTCTGTGCAGGCAGCTGGGCAGCCTCACCTGCCTCAAGGGCCTCCGCAAAAGTCACGCACCCAATTCCCACCACCTACGCACTGGGGCAGTACACAGGGAAACTGAGATACACACAGTATTAGTACAGGACAGTAAAACTCACATGCAACATAACAAGGTAAAAAAAACCCACTTTGTCACAGTTACATTCAGCCCCGCCCAGAGCTATCAACAGGCAATATTTTAATTATGGCTTTACATTTGCAGACACAAGAGATTGTATTTAGGCATCTACCTGATTTGCAGTTGCAGTCAGCTAATTAGAAGTGTTAATGCCATTGTTTGTCTGTGTCTGTACAATTGACTGCAGCTATAAAACTGGATGCTGGGTTTAAGCCTCTTTTTAAAATATCTTACCCCGAATGGAGGTTATGTACATATATATCCCAACACAGTTCTATTCCAGGCTCAGTTTTTTTCTGCAAAGAGAATGAAAATTATCTGATATTGCATAGGGCTTATGTGATATAGGCAAAAATGTTAGTGGGAAATAGTTATGACCACAAATGTCACCTTTATGCCTTTATCTGTTAAAGTGAATTTGAGTTCAGCTCTCCAGTGATGAGAGACTAGTGCAGTACCCTGCTACACTACACAAAGGCTCCTCAATCTTCACAACATTGCAGAGGTGACAGGCACCAATACGAACCAAGTCCTATTTTGGTTTAAAACAATATTACACACATACCTGCGCCTTGGGCTTCTGCAGAATGGTTGTCAGTGGTAGAGGTGCATTTAAACTGTACCACCTAGTCATTTAGCTACCCTTTAGAATCTAAACAAAAATGGAATTGAACATGTATCAGCCTTGGCCAGGCTGTACTAGATTTCCACGCAATGAAGGCCAAAGGATTAGTTCCTAGTGAAATGACAGTATTCATTTCAGTTTTTTAAAGCCTATGCTATGCAAAGTCACATTCTGTAAAGCTTCTCCTTCTGCATCACATGCCCTGTAAATTTTCCACTCATGTCTGGATTTTATGTTTTAAAATTACCTATAAAGCTGAACTGTAAGTGTGTTACCAATGATCCCAGACTAAATACTGAAAAAACACTTAGTTCAGTCTCAATAACTGCTGTCAATCATGGTAGGTTATATGCTAGCCATGTATTATTCTCTATATAAAGTAATGAAAGCCAGCAGTGGGTAGTCACTTTGTGAAACTCTCAGCTATCAAAACTGAACTTCAATTTTTAAAACCTTATCATCTATTGTTATTGCCCACACAGACCACAAAAAAGGAAGAGACTCCAGAACACAGGGCACTGACTTCAGCAACTAGGCCAGATTACTTTCCAATTAATATTCTGTCGAATGTTAAATAGTAAAAAAACTAAATATATCTTTCAAGTTTTAATTCTTAACTATCCACACCAAAGCCTGAAAGCCTTTAAATATCCATCACAGAAATGGCCCTGCATTGGCAGCAGCATGGCATGCGGCCACGCCACCCTGACAAAATCTTATGACTTACCGGCACTAACTCTAGGCGAGTTCTAACTCCCAAGACTATTCATCCCATAGCATCTCTACCATGAGAACTAGTTGTGGTGGCAGTTTTTTGGTACATGACCGCCGGCACATTAGGAACTCAAAGGAGAGACTAAAATCTAAAGAAGTTACCAGCTGAGGGTGAATTTGAAACAGTTATCTAGAAGCAAAAGGTTTGATATTCCTCTTTCAATTCTTTGAGGCATCAAATCCCGGGACGGAAACATTTTCCATGGTTATTTTTCCCAGAGGCATTCAATTGTAATGACAAATTATAAAATTAGGCTGCTAGTCAATCTCCTTTTACAGCATATATCTCCATACAATTTTAAAGTAAAAATATAATCAGAACCGTATTTAGTTTAGTTTGTGCTTCATCTAAATTTCATAGATAAATTTAAAAAGCCATCCCATTTGGAGACAATCTTTTTGCTTTATAACATCTCCTTATTCTGATAACAGTATAGGCCAAATTTATCTAATGCCAGATCACCAGTGTAATCTTTCCCTTCCCTCACAGCCAGTCCACTTGAATTAACTGGGGTCTCAATGTTTTTCATACAGTGAATTTAGTAAACATAATAAAGCGCTCCCTCTAATAAATCATTTTTTTTAAATAAAATTTCCTCCTCTCAACACACACTGTAGAACTTTTAAAAATATCAGCAAAATTTATTATCACTGGATCCTTTTCAGTTTAAGATTTAATTGGTCACCATTTGGTAGGTTTGAGAAAAAACATTAGTGTTCATTCACTTGAATTTGTGAAAGTTGCCACAACATGAACCAGTTCAAAGATTTAGGTAAAAAGAGCAGCACAGGAAGTTTTTAAAAAAAAAAAAAAAAACAACCACAATTAAGCCGCTAATCATTCTACTATGCTAGTCACAGAAAAGGGCTGTTGTCAAGTCTAGTAAAGCACAAAGTATTACCCCACTCTCCAATAGTATCTGCAGTTAAGGCTGAGGAGATCTAGGACATCCCCCTATCAATGCTTTGCCCAGTCTAATTTGGAATGACGCAGGCAGTGGTGTTTACACTCCATCCCTAAGGAAACTATTCCACAGTCTGATAGATCTCATTGTTAGGAAGTTATACCCAATATTCAGAGTTTTTCCTTGTCTTAGAAAAAGTGTATAAAATCCAAGTATTGTACTTTGCTGTGGTTTTTCCCAAGAATAACACTTCACTGCTTCGTTCCACATCATACACATACAAACAGCATTAAAAGTTATACACTTACCCAATGTCAACTGTAATAAGCAATCCTAAATAACAAAGCAGTGTTTATGTACATCATACGAGGGAAGTATTCCACAGGGAAATAGATTTCATTTTCAAGGTCCCACAGCATTAATTCAGTAATAAAACAATTACAAATCCTCCAAGAGTGTCCTTTTAAATTGTCCAGCAGAAAATAGTGGGGCTTACTGAAGCATCTGAAAATGTTAGGTCTTGCAATGTTGGGTCCAGCAGATGTATGAAAGAAGGCATAATTGTGGGTGGAAGGAAAAGAGCAGCATTTGGTGCACATCCACCGGACCTAACGAGTTGTTCCTGGAGATGAAGCTTTCACACCATCACAACTGGCATTCTGGACTAACCCCCTTTGACACAGTCTGTGGGAACTTCCCCACAAACCAGGGGGGGGAGGGGGCGCTTGTTTATTTGTTCGTGTTCTTTTACAAAACTCATTATTAGTTCACCTCTACCGAAACGGTAACTTGAACCAGTTTAGTCAGCCTTCATGCTTGGGAAGCCAGCAAATAGTTAATATAAGACCAAAATGATAACAGACATGGTGACAGCGATGAATAGGGTACATATCAAGCTCCTTTTTGAGCCTAGAGAATCTCTGCAGATGCTTTGTTTCTCCCCATATTAGCTAGGCACTCCTTTTATGAGCTTCTTAATGAGGGATGCATTTCACCTGACTTTCAGGTTCAGCAAGTAACTCCGCTGCTTTCCCTCAACTTTCCTGCCCACCTGCTTTTCAGGAGCTTGATTTCCAAGCCCCACTACACCTGATCAGGATCAGAGGTTCAGGAATGTAACTTCATAGATTCCCTGGGGAAAGGAGCTGGTTCTTCAGCCAACTGCTGGTGGCCTCAATCTGGTGCTGCCCAAGATGCTGGTAACACCCTCACCCTCCCACCTCTCTTCTATATTAGATGGACCAAAAGAATTGAGCAGGCAGATCCCAATGCCAATCCTAACGTCAGGTAAAATGTCATCACCACCCCTGTTGCCTCTGCCAACTCTTTTGGCAAGATCTTGGGGCCATAGATGATAGCTAAGGTACCCAGGTAACCATTGCTGAGTCCTAAGAGCACAATGAAGACAGCCGGGTAGACATCTTTGTTGAAGATTACCATTTTGATATGGCTCCGAGGCTGATAGTTACATAACATGAATAGGGGTAGTGACAAAGTCCTCAGGAGGACCAGAGCAGGGAGCAGTTTGCTCTTTGGGCCAGGGGCCTGGATCCAGGCGGTGATTTGCCGTCCACACCAGTCAGCAAAATTGTACAAAAGGAAACTGGTGAGGGGGATGAAGTACTTATTGGTCCATAAGCTCCCCGAGTCCTTGTTGACAGATTCTATGCTGGAGGAGATGGAAGGAAATATGATGATAGAGATGAAAAAGACATAGAAGACACAGAAGCCCAGGACAGCGGTCTTCTTCAGGATAGGACGTAGGGGTGGGATATTTTGGTCACTGGTCACTTTGGCTGGAAATGAGCTGTTGGTGATGCCTTTTGACTCATCCACTCCCTCTAAATAACTGCTAGGCAATACACCAGCTGGGTGTGTGCTACCCTTGTGGCTTCTCATGTAGTACCTGAAAGGAGAGAGGAAGGAAAACTGTCAACAACCCAATGAAATCAAGATGGACAGCTGCAATGAGAACAGAGTTTGGCTGTGCTGGAAAATTTGCTGGCACCCAACAAATAAGGAATTCAGTATTTAGATTATATAGCTTGTACTGCCCACCTCATTAGAAACTGATCCCCTCCCCAGCCCAGAATCCAGAGGGAAGATTGATGTCCGCAAACTCCCTAAAACCTTGTCAACAGGGAAACGGAGAACAGAAATTCAGCACAAGCAGTGGCAATCCCCACAGTTACTGTCAGTGGATTCTATTTTAATAAAGGGCTACACATACAGACTACTTCAATGACCTTAGGATTTAATAGACACATAAGATCACATTCCTCTTCCTTGCCAAGATCCCACTCCCTACACAATATGGGCACATGTCAATCATATCATGGGGGAGTGTACAAAATACTTGTTTCCTGTGCTTTTCATTATACAATAAAAGAGGGCTGTGAACAAAACAAAAACATTATCTCCTGCTCCCACATGAACCTACCTACATCACCACAAATGTACTCTAACTAGTGCTTCCTATAGAATTTACTCAAATCCCATGGACTTTCCAACTCCCTTCTCCCAACCTGAATGTGTCATAATTAAACAAGAAATGCCTCTCATGCACAGAGATGCGCAGCTATTCACAGGAGGGCTCGACAGACATTTCAAAACCAATCAGGCTTGGAGAATCCAGATGTTGAGGAGTCCAAAATACTGGTATGTCCCACTGGTTACTGCATGAACCCTGTTTGGTTGTTATCTGTATGTTTCAGGGGTTAATCTGAATAAGAGTTAGTTTAACGACTTCTGATTAAGCAATTCTAGAGCTGCTTATGTGGTTTCAGTCATTCCCCTCCCCCTCTTCCTCACAAAAGTAGCTTTTCAGAAACTCAAGACAAGCTGCAAATCCTCCAGTTTCTGTCTGTGGTTTCTGTCAAATCAGGAAGATCATATGAAAGAGACCCAGCAAAGGAACTGAACACAAGCAGCAGGACAGCAAAGCACAGGGTGTGTTGCATGGCCCTCCGAGCAGGGTAGGAGAGAAGGGGGATTCTTGCAACAATCAGACAAGCATGTGAGCAAACAACATAAAAGGCAAGACTGCCGAATGGCAGGAGGCAGGAGAAATGGGCATCACATAAGACTATGATTTTCCTGACCCTTTACGCTACACAATGAAAGAGAAAGTAGGTCCCCAGCTACCCCGTTTGCACTGCTGTTCTTACTGCTGGCTTTTCACACCTCAGCATACTACGATCATGTACTTTGTAGCTCTTATTAGGGAGAAAAATACCTCTACCTGCAACTGAGGCATAGTCACCACATCCAAAGTCTATATCAGGTGAACCGTGCTTAGGATATTTGCATAGTCAATGGCCTGGTGGCTTGACAGGCTTTACCTGGAGTATTCCAACTTGGGAAGAATCAGGTATACCACAATGCAGACAATGATGAAGACATCTGCTGTCAGGAAGTAGGCCAAGGCGCTGTCTGTAACATCAGCTGCTGCTGCCAGGTCCACCACCGATGCCACAGCACTGACTGTGCCCCCCATGGCCTGACCTACATGGGGGAGAAAAAGCAAGAATTCAGTGTCAAAGAAGCATGTAATAATGCCCAGCTTATACTGGCTCAGCCAGGCCCAGACACTTGGGTAGGCAGCAGCTTCAAAGCCGAAATAGAGGGCCGGAATTAGAGAGATGAGGGTAAGAGGCTTGCACCTAGGAATTTCAGAAACCATTTTTAACTGAAATGTATAGGCAAACTTCAGTGCTCTTGGAACAGAGCCACTGATACTATTGGCTGGAGCCATACACAGAGCTGGCACGTGCTGTGCAAGTGCTCACACACAGCTTAGCCAATGCACTTCAATCCTAACCGATGAACACGGCTTGAATTCCAGCGCCAGGTCGCTCGATACAAGGCAGCCAATCGCTGCAAGCTGTATGGTAGTTTTGGGATGTAAAAAAACCCCAAATATTTGGCTAGCTGGAAACCTCTAAACTCATTTCGTCTGACCCAAGCCTCACTGTAGTCTCGGCCTCCAGAGGTGAAAAGCTAGTGCATTAACACGTTGCGTCATCTATTTACCCCAGCAGCCTCGAAAGGGAAAGCCCATCTGCATGTTTGGTATTGCTTCTACTTCTATGTTGGTCTCAAATCAGTTATTTATTGGATCACAACCCCTACTGTGTACTAGTTGTGTAGTGAAATGGGAGCTCCGCTTTCCATCCATCCTTCTCCCCCCTCCAGCAAGGGTACACAAATACATTACATTGTGGGGGCCAGGTGGGTCTGGTGTGCTGGGCTTTAATGTGGATTTCCTATGCCTAGTTTCAGAGGGTAGAGTGTTAGTTACCGGATCAGAAACCCAAGCTTGGTTTTCTAAAATTGAGAGTTTGATAGTCTCTCTCTTTTACCTCCCAAAATTCAAATCAAGTTGCCAATACCACGTACACATTTTTTACAACAGGAACAGCCACATCTGAGACAAGCCAATTTCCCTCACCGGGGGGAAAAAAAAAAATCATTAAAACATTCCTGCCTTGGCCCAAGGAAGTATTTCTGAAGTCACTGTCTTGATTTCTTCCCCCTCATCTCTCTCTTAACATTCTAAATGCACTGCAGGGTAGGTATCAACAACAGCCAAACCTCCAGGGACCTCATCACTCATGACTCTCAGCGTGTCCCTCATCAGTTATGGAAATGAGCATAAATGTGGAATATAAAAAGAGAGACAATGCGAAGTTTAATATTTCCTGAGATATAAACAAATGTGGAACTAAAGAATGTTCTTCCCCCTATAGAAAAATCAACTCTGTGGTCCTTAGTCTCACATTGTTTAGGGGAAATTCACCTACAGGATATGGATACCAAGGATCTGGTATTCTCCTTGTCTCTTTTGAGAGAACAAATACTGTTTTATACAGTGAAGTATGGCAGTCTACAAAACATTTACAGAAACTAGAGAGTCAGCTCACATGACTGGCTGTTTTTCTTCCTTGGAAACTTCCCTTTATCTCAGTCTACAGATTATTTTTTTTAAATAAAGGAAAGGTCACGTTACTTCAGCTAACATGCAGACCTCATTATCATGTCTAAATGCAAGATGCAGCAAAACCTCCACCAAGATGGAGCATGTGCTACAGAACCGAAAGCATGGGTCACAAAACTAAAACCCATGATTCTAAGCAGTTTCTAAGCTCTCGTCAGTCTGTTTCTCAGTGAGTGGGTAGTTTTCCATTGAAAAAGCTAATTTATTTACTGCCACCGATTCCATTTTGAATATCAGAGAGAGATTAACCTGAAATCAACGCCTGCGAATTCTTCATGGGGAAACAGCCTGTCAGGCCAAAGATGCTGCTGGAGAAGATGGTTGAGGCGCTGCTGACTATAACCACGCAAACTATGGTTATGACAAAAAAACGCTGTGTCCACGTGGATGTGTCCATTTTCACCAGCACAGTGATCACCACGAAGACAGCCAGCATGACAGCCAAGGAGGACAGAATGCGGATGCTGGCAGATACCCTAGAGAAGAAATGCAATGGTTTGGGGTTTTTTAAAAATGAGACACCCCCCCCCCACTATCTATTTTAGTCACAGAAATCTATTATTCATAACTTCTATTACAGTAGTGCCCAGATGCCCCAGCTGAGATCAGGGTCCGATTGTGCTAGGCACTGTATACACACATAGTAAGAGACAGTTTCTGAGGCACTCACAATTTAAACACTCAGACTATGGGGAAGGGGAGTGGAAACAGAGCCTGGGGAGGTGAAGTGATTTGCCCCAAGTTAGCAAACTGGCAGAAGAACCCAGGTCTCCCGGCTCCCAGTATAGTGCCCTATGCACTAGACCATACTGTCTCTCCTTACATGTGACTCATCTTCAAATGCCTACAGGCTGGCACAATCTACTCTATTCTACATATTTCATTTTTAAAAACCCTAGTCAGTGAAAAGTTTCCAGACAAATACAGTAATGGCTATCATTTTGTAACTTTGAAACTCTTGGGTGGAAAAGGGTACAGAAATGCAAAGTGCTCTACAAACTAAGTAATTTTCACAACCCAAGCTAAGGACCTTTGCTTTAAAGGTAGCCAAGAAGTGCCATGTGCTAGTAGTACTGACTGCTGTCAAAATGCAGCGTACAAGTGTGTAGCTGTCACCCTGTCCCACTTTTTAGAGCACACACTCAAGATGCCACACCACAACATGGGAACTTGGGAACTGACAATGGAGTTGTTTTGGAAGCACAAACGACAGCCTAGAAATGCATACTCTGGCTAAGGCAGGCTGCTGATGTGCCAGCCAAATGGGAGATAATACAAGAGCACAAAGGAAGCCAGGTGCCTAGAGAAATGAAGCCAGTGTAGAAGTTGCTATGAGCTAATTCCTCTGGGGTGGGAAGGTCCAAGAAAAAGGGGAGAAATAAAAAGTAATTATTTTAAAGGGTTTTGATATGAAGTTGATGACTTCCACATCTTCCATCAGTGCTTATTCAACTCAATAAGTCTATAAACCCAACCAAGCTGTAAATATCTATTTCTAGCAGAAACAGGAGATATTCCCCTCAGAAGAGCAACACACAGCAGCAACAAAGTCTGCTTGGGGAATACGGCAGGCTGGGTGAAAGCAATCACATGCTTGTCACTACAAGATAATTAGTTGCCTGAACAGGAAGGTTACTTATTATAGACACACAAGACTTTATCAGCTCACCTTCAGGGCAGAGGTGGGATGAAGGAAAAAGGAAGAAAAAGAAAAGCTAAGCTAGCAATCAAGATCTAGAGATGAAGTGTTGAAATATATTCCTTTCATCCTCAGATACAAGGTCTCCTGTACTAAACCTTATTCTCCTAGGCAGGTCTCCCAGGGACCACAATATGGTGCATCATGCCTCATAGTTACCCAACCGACAAATACTGTAGTCTGACTGGCCCATTTTTAGGAGGATGAAGGACTCCTGACAAATATGCCTTGTGTGCATGGAACACCTTTTTGAAAAGCAATTAAAACACAAATAAATTATATCTGATCAAACAGGAGCACGGATATGAATACAAGTGTATTCACGCACCCACAAGGAGTCAGCACTACCTGGTTTTGTTGTTCTCTCCCAAATGATGTACAAGAAAAACTTTCATGATCTCATATGCGTTGGTATCCACAGACAGTGTCACTACTTTAAAACAGCAATAATGGTTAGCTCTCAAAGATGCTGTTATACTGAAGGTGGAGCATATGCTAGCCAGACATGCTGCATAATATTTGAACCACAGGGAACCGATTTGCTCAGAATTCTTCATAATGTTAATCTGCCTCATGAGTATTTATGATGTTGAAAATTTAACATAATAAAACACTTATTGATTATAGATGCACCAGTCAGAAGAATCTGTGATATGCAGGAGATAGATGCTACATTTAAATGTAATGCATTAAATACATAATAGTTTAGTGAAATGGATACATTAGCAGTCTGAATGATATGCAAGAAAAACAAGAGCTATTTTCTGAAGTTCTCCTTTGCTTTCTTTCCCTTTCCCCTGTTTGCATGCAACATGCTAAAATAGGTAACAACTGAGCACCTATTTTAGGAATTTATCACTTGGCTAATAATTACTATGGTATTAATGGTGAACATTAAAGTACCTACTCAATCTGAAGTAGGTACTGTACACACACGTACTCACCTCCTGCCATTGTGCACTGATATGGCTCATCGTCAGACTAATTTCCATTCTTTCTTCAGTGATTAGAACTCGCAGAATAAGGCAGATAAAAGGGACTGGCACACAGGCAAACACCGTAGGTACAGAAAATAGAACTATAGTTGCCAGTCAACAGGGAATCAAGACAAGTACAGCGCTATAGTTCCCTCTAAAAGATTTTCTCCTAGTGGGTGGGGAAACCTTTGCCCTGTGTCTCAGATTCTCTTGGCAGGGGGTAAACTGGTCAATGGGAATAAGGCGGAGCTTCCTGCAGCAGGGAAAGGTACCCAGAGGCGGGTCTGAAGTGAGGGTAGCAATCCCACAACCCCCCTACAACAGTTTTGCAACCTCCCCAGAACTTCTTTTCGGTCAGGACCCCCATGGTTACAACACTGTGAAATTTCAGCTGTAAACATCTGCAAATGTGAAATTGACTAATTTTCAAATCCTATGGCTGTGAAATTGACCAGAATGGACCATGAATTTGGTAGGGCCCTAGTTATAAACTAGAGTAGCATTCAGAACACAGATTTAGTAAAAACTAAGCGCGCGAAAGAACAAGGGTTCTGACTCAGGCCATGTGGCGGTAAGAAGGACTGGAGAGGCATCGACCCACACAGCCTATTATACCGTCAGGTGCGAGCACAAGGGGATGCATGACATGTGCAGATCAAAGGGCACTGCTAAGAAAACCTTCTGGCTCCGGTGCATGGTGTGCATGCACACCCCACATTTGGAATACTGTAGTAGGGTGGTCACCCCGCTTCCGCCTGAAGGTGAGGTGAGGCGAGCCACCGGCCTGCAGAGGACGCTCTGGGCTGGAAAGAGCTAATTCCCGAGACGAGCAGGAGGAGGTGCCACGCTGGTGAGTCGGCACCCCGCCACACGTGGTGGACAATGTGGGCACGCGGTCCGCCCCTGATACAAAGGGCAGGGCAGGGCAGGGCAGGGACTATTGCCCAGATCTGAGAGTGGAGAACATGAAGGTGGTGAAGATGGACTGGTACTGGAGAGTCTGTGTGGCCCGGCTCGCCGAGCAGCAAGCGGGACTGATTCAGCTGCTGTGGGGGAGGGCACATAGATCTCATCCGGGGCCAGGCACCTGGGGCTGGAGGCTGGTGCTGGGGCCTAAAGACTGTTTCGCCTGTGGACGACTGGGACACTACCAACAGGAGTGCCCCTACTGGGGACCCCACCTGGACAAGGAAGAAACTGAGGGCGCGCCCCCTGTGAGGGTTACAGGGGGGCCCCCGAACATGTTGGGCCTGTAAAGAGCCCGGGCACACAAGGAGGGAGTGCCCTCAGGGGACTTGCCGGGCCCAGGCTAGCCCTGAGGGAAGGGTTAAGCCTGAAACAGACAGTGGGAAGGCCGTGGCCAAGGGAAGGCACAAGAGGTGCTTCCAGTGCCACAATGAGGGCCATATAAAAAGGCACTGCCCTCTAAGAGAAAGGGAGAGCGCCGGCCAAGGGAGGGCCGTGGCAAAGGGAAGGCACAGGAGGTGCTTCCACTGCCATACCAAGGGCCATTTAAAAAGGCACTGCCCCCTAAGAGAAAGGGGGAGCACTGACAAAGGGGCCCAGTCTGAGCCTAACCAGGCTGGAGGGACAGGGAAGGCTGGGGGCCCAAACCAGGAACTGTCGGTGGCAGAGAGGCCCCAGACAAACCAGGGAACCCACAAGGGATCCAGGAGGGCTACGGTGGGATCTCAAACAGAGAGGGGAACCCAAGTGGGAGCTGAGAGGGCTATGGTGGGGACCCAGACTGTTATATAGGGAAGCAGGTGGCTCCACATAGTGGAGAGCCTGCAGCAGGAGAGGGATTCCCTGCGAGCCCAGTAGCGAGGGGCACTGGGGCAATAGGGATCCCCCACACACATTCTTAAGGGGGAGGGTGTGTAGCAGGGTGGTCACCCCGCTTCTGCCTGAAGGGGATAAAGCAGCCCTGGAGAGGGCTGCAGCAGGGAAAGCTAGACTCATTGGGGAAACAGCCACAGCTGGGGTCACGCCCCAATCAGGCCACAACTGGCCCTATAAAAGGGCTGTGAGCCATGAGCTCAAAAAGGACACTCTATCCCTAGCTTCTGAGAGCGAAAGACCTGGCTGCTTGGGAGCTGAGACGGGTATCTGAGGTGGAGCAGGGCTGGGGAAGGGCAGAGGGAGCTGGGGAGCTCCAGCCTGATAAAACCCCAGGCTGCAGGCCTTGGTGAAGGCCTATGAAAGGGTACTGGGTCTGCAGAGAGGCAGCCCAGAGATAGGCAAAGGCAGCAGGTCCTAACCCCCCTTGCCGATGATGAGTGGTTTACAGACTGCCGTCTGCCCCAGTGAGTGGGGACTAGATGATGATTGGCAGTAGCCACTGAGGCAAGGTGGGGCTAGAGGGTTGGAGGTTCCCCTGGGAGGGGAGACCCAGAGACAGTGGGTTGCTGCTGGGGGCAGAACCCTGAAGTAGAGGGGTACCGGGGTCCGGGAGGGACACGGGGGCCAGCGGCGGGCGAGCCACCGGCCTGCAGAGGGCGCTCTGGGCTGGAAAGAGCTAATTCCCAAGACGACCAGCAGGAGGCGCCACGCCGGTGAGTCGTCACCCCACCACAAATACATATAGGGACCATCATTCGAAGAAGAATCACTGATTCCAGTGACCTGTACTATGTTATAAACTACAGTAGCATTCAGAACACAGATTTCACAGGGAAATGTAACAAGGAACTTAATACTATATTTAACCTTTTTCTACAGTGGGCTATTATTTCTCTGAAAAAATATCATCACACAAGAGAACATATACATGAGTTTGTGCACAGAAATGTATCTGTGCCTGGTCTAATACCTAAGAGGTGTCTTGAGTGGGCTTTGCTGTGGAGACAGAACAGCAGAGTGAGTCTCTTTCATAAGCAGTTTAGCTAACATTTTTTCCTGGTTAAATGTAGTTCCCCCTTAGATGTTTCAGCTTGACTTCAAGCCCACTGCTGTGCTAGCACTAAAAACTAGAGAAAAGGGTGGAGTGATTGGACTGCAGAGGGAGCAGGCAAGCCTGGAAATGGTGGTGCTTAATGCATCCTGGACTGGAGATGTAACTGCACTTACCTGTTGACTAGCACAAAGTTTCCAATCAGGCAGAGCACTGAAGGCACAGTTGAGGCAATGGAAATGTAACTTTCAAAGTAGTCCTGCAAAAAGCAACAAAGGCATTTAAAACCAAAATCAGAAACAAATCTAGCTACACACTACCTCAGAAACCTCCTATACAAGTAGCAGCGAGCAAATCAAGAACACCAAGACAAAGCTCTCAGCTGCCATACCATCATAATGCCTGTGGGCCTACAGACTGAGCTGCAATTTACCAAACTTATTTCTAATGCACTTGTCTTAATCTTCCAGCTCGTTACTGTGTTGGCTACCATAAACAGTATGAGCTACTAAAATATTTACTGCATTAGTATCTGTCAAGGCTGATTCCCCACTCTGGCACTTCAAGTGCAGAAGGTGGGGGCCCGCAAGGATTCAAAAAATTAATTATGGCCACTCCAGGTTTGTATTAAACTTCCAAGGTTACAGTTTCTCTCTGATCTTGGATGGGTAGATGCTGCCACCACCAAAATGCAAACCCCTTGGAACCCAGGAAGGCACACTTGGGAATTCCTTCCTGTGGGGTACCCTCAAGCCCTTTCACACACACTCACACTCCAGGGAAGAGCTGAGAAAGAAAAGAAAGGAAATTAGCTGTTGACCCCTGCTAATTAAACAGCATATGCACAAACCTCCTAGGACACAAAAATCCAATCCTGTTCTTAAAAAAGGTAAACTTTATTAAAAACAAAAAGAAAGAAAATATATCTGTAACTTAGGCTTTTGCTAGATTTTTAAAAGAACAATTCCAAAAATTAAGCACCCAAAATAGCTTTCTTGGAGGTTCAACTTAAAGTTTAGAAGCAAACAAAAGCATCTGGGGTTAGCACAGAAGAGTCCACTAGCCATAAGAAATAAACCTAATTGTGTCTCTCTAAACATTCCTGATCTGCTTACATATTTGGGTTGTTAAAAGTAGTTCTAGATATGATCTGATGATCTTCATATCTGTCTTAAAGCTTCTAATAGCATAACTGCTCCCTGTTCCCCTCTTTCCCTAGGAACGACAGACAGACAAAGGGAAGTTTTTTCCCCAATTTTAAAAAGTTCTAGCCCTCCCATTGGCTCTTTTGGTCAGGTGACCACTCCTTTCCTTTTACCTGTAAGCTTGTTAACCCTTTACAGGTAAAGCAAGTAGAGAACAACCACCAAGAGGGATTCCATAGCCAACTGGCTGGCTGGGTGTCCACAAAAGGGAGCTATCCCCCCTCTCATTTATCACATTATTGCTCTGGAATGTGTGTAGTATGGTGATTTGTTCAACCCTGGCAGGGTAGAGTAAGTATGTGCATCTGGGGAAGTGAAACAACAGGTCAGGTCCCCCTAATCCAGGGGTAGGCAACCTATGGCACGCGTGCCGAAGGCGGCACGTGAGCTGATTTTCAGTGGCATTCACACTGCCCGGGTCCTGGCCACCGGTCCAGGGGGGCTCTGCATTTTAATTTAATTTTAAATGAAGCTTCTTAAACATTTTAAAAACCTTATTTACTTTACACACAACAATAGTTTAGTTATATATTATAGACTTATAGAAAGAGACCTTCTAAAAATGTTAAAATGTTTTACTGGCACGCAAAACCTTAAATTAGAGTGAATAAATGAAGACTCGGCACACCACTTCTGAAAGATTGCCGACCCCCGCCCTAATCTAACAAGGGTTTAATCAATGGCTGAAACAGCACAAGCGACTAAATATATTCATATTCTTTAAGACAGAGTGGCTGATTCCAGAATGGCTCAACTGATCACTGACTTCTAGTGTATTAACCAGGCTAGACTCTGCATTCCAAGCCCTGGTGGGCCAAGCAATGGCTGTTGTGGTGTGTTTCCCCCACCCTAACTTTGTCACTATATACTGCCCAAGAAAGTTCACTCAGAACATAGTTGTCCTCTCTATTACTTACAATATGGCATGACATTTAACCACCAAATACATTTCTCTCTCCATCATAGCACATGCTCCAAAGCATTTTATAAATTAGATGGTGAAGGCAGATTGGAAACGTTCTTTTTCCTGGTCTCATAACTCAAGAGCAAGGGGACATTTAATGAAACTGAAAGATGGCAAATTCAAAACTGAAAAAATAAAATACTTGTTTATATGACATACATACACAGTGCAGCTGTGGAACTCATTGCCACACAATGCTACTAAGGCCAAGAGTTTAGTAGGATTCAGAAAAAGATTAGACGTTATGTGACTAACAATAATATCCAGCATAAAAACAAACAAAAGTTGTGGAAGAGCTATAACCCCTCAAGCTTCAGGGCTTAAGCCAACCTCTAACTACAGAGGGTTAGGAGCAAACTAAAGGTTTTCCTGGGCAATTAATCCCATATCTGCCTAGTACACAGTTTCCTATACCCTCCCCCGGCAGCAGGAACAGGACACTGGATTAGATGGACCACTGGTCTGATCCAGTATGGGAAATCCTATATGTTCCTGCACTGCAAATGGAATGACTAATTGACTGAGCAGCCAGCAAGGACATCTCATTAAGAGGTCTTAGTGATTTAGAGCACCTCTGTATTTGTGTGGAAAGCTTGTGTATATGCAGACAATCAGGTAGTGATTTGTCAGGCCCTCCGATCCCATGGCCAGGAGCATAAATGGGACTGACGAGGAAAGGGTGGATTGATTTAAATTGCAGTGCTTTAAATCACTAATGTTTAAAATCACCAAGCAAGAAACCTTGATTTAAAAAATTGATTTTAATCATATTTTGTACTGGTACTTTTAGTTATTTTCCTATAGCTTACTTCTCATTAGTTGGGAACCATTAAAACATGGTGTCAACTATCAGAGGGGTAGCCGTGTTAGTCTGGATCTGTAAAAAGCAACAGAGAGTCCTGTGGCACCTTATAGACTAACAGACATATTGGAGCATAAGCATAAGCAACATGTGCGTCTGAAAAAGCTTATGCTCCAATACATCTGTTAGTCTATAAGGTGCCACAGGACTCTTTGTTGCTTATTAAAACATGTTGATTTGCAAATAAATATAGCCTTTACACCCCATGTGGTGGGTTGTGGGTTTTTTTGCTAAAACAGGACCATATACTATAGCTATACACATTTACTTAAAAAAAATATATAGTGCTTAACATACATTTATTCAGATTCTTAATTTTTATATTTTTATCATCATGTTAGAAAATGGTGAATGATGCACTTCTTAGTGACTGTGACAAATCACAGTAAAAAAGTAGTCACCTAATCTCGATTTGGATAGAAATTTAAATTCAATTAAACTGCACAAAAACAGTATTTTAATTGTTTTACTAGTTCAATAAAACTACCTTAAATGTGGGGGATACATCAGAAAAAAGGTTTATCAGAAAGTTTACTAAAACATGTTGTGCATTTAAAACTAACTGATTTATTAAACAAAGAAAGTATTGTCTGTAGTTAGCGAAGTGAACTGATTGTTTCTGGTTACCATGTCCTCCAAGATTTTAAAACGAGTAGATCTCATCCTTTCACACCTAGTTTTTAATTCATAGATTGGAAGAGGAAAACAAGCTTTCCTGCTTTTTCAACATCCAATTGGTTTCTTAACTTAAAAAGAATTAGTCACTGAACTGAACTAGTTGTATATACTGAAATGAAGAAATTATTCTCTCTGCACTTATAGAAGAGGCTATTGCTGTCCAAAGCTGGTTTAGCACTTCAACAAACTCTGGTTCCAGGTGCTTAGCCAGTGACTTCCACCACTTCAGTGCTGTGATTTTCTTTAAAACTTGACAGCAAATATAACACTGCTTAATATTATTTTTTGTTTTTAATATAAATGATTTTAATAGATCATAGGCTTAACATAGGTTTTCATCACTTCAAATTTAATTTTAAATAGGTTTATTTAAAAAATCTGTATTTAATTTAAATTAAAAATCTGTATTTTTTTTTTAAATCATTGATTTTATCCAACCCTGGACAATAAGTACTTTCCTCCCACCCCAATTCCCCTGCTAACACTACAAAGCTATGGTATGGAGCAATTTACAGAGCTGTTATTATATGCTGGGCTGCCAGAGGTTACTTTGTGTTTCAGGCCAGCCTGGTCTATAGTCTAGTATATTTCCACATCCATGAGAATTAGCAGCTATTAATCTGGGATTGTATTATTTGCCAGAGAGAGAGAGACAAACAGACAGGGAAGGACAAGGTGGCTAGGAAAGAAAATGAAGTTTTTAATTGGAGACCTTTGAACTTCCACTGCAAGAATTCTCAAGGCAGAACGAAGAGTATGTAGAAACAGACACAAAACTCCAATTAATTTCAACTTTCCATTCCTTCTCCCCCTTCTCCTAATAGCAGTGGATGCCTTTTATTAGGATTCCTTCATTTTTTTAAAACCTTAGCTGTTTAAGAAGAGTCTTCACCCAAAACTACGGTGTGTCACAGATGTACCCCTTTGGTTCCATCCCCAAAAGAACATTGGTTGCCATCTATCAAAAGATCGTCTCCTTCAACAGCACTGCACCTATTCACATTGGCCTCCACGGACAGCACATATGCCCAGCTCAGAACTAATCTGATATCTATCTCAGATACATATGTGGCCCCCATTACCATAGTACTATAACACCTCACCATCTTTAACGTATTTATCCTCACGACATCCCTGTGAGTAGGGAAGGGCTATTAGCCCTATTTTATAGATGGGGAACTGAGGAAGAGAGAAACTAAGTGGGTATCCTTAGTCCTAGACTAACCATTGAACCTACTTCCCTTCCCTTCACGAACACTGATGTAAATGAGGCCTTTTGTCTGGAGCACATGACTGGTAGCCACAATCTGCAGAGTTTCTAATCCTCTGATGTTTATTTTCTCTTTGGCCTTGAGCAAATCCTTTAACCACTTTGCCTCAGTTTCTCCACCTATCAAATGGAAATAATGACGCTTACTTGACTCACAGGTGTGTTGGAGGATTCATTTATATGGAAGTACTATACAAAAGCATTATTGTTAATTAACTAAACTGAAAGTTTGCAATGATTAATCAAACCTGTTTCTTCCCTCTCCATCCACAGTTATTTG